GTGTGTGTGTGTGTGTGTGTGTGTGTGTGTGTGTGTGTGTGTGTGTGTTGGGAGGGTTATGTAAGCCCTGTTAACGCTGAGGCGCTGCAGAACAAATTCATTGTGTCACAGTGTTAGCGGTCATGTTGTTCGTAAACCACAGCCCTTCACTTGTGGTTGTGGAATGCATTTTGCTCTCTCTTTGGTTGTCGTTTATTTTTCTTTTTTCTTTCGTGCACACTTACAATACACAGCTGGATAGTTTTTCTTTCCCCTCAACTCTTGGCTCAGGCTTTAAGATTGTATCTCATTGACTATAAGGCCACCAAAACATTATAGTATTTTCAGATCTTACATATGTGCATAAATCAGGAGTACAACKCTAATTTTAACCAGGTGTATACGAATAAAACTTTGGCCTTTACAAATAAAGTAAAAACTCTTACTTTTTTCTAACCAAAAGTATGTGTCTTTTCTGTTAAACAGTTTTTTGTGCAACATCGCCCTGTCTGTGAATGGGAGCCAGCCAAGTTTTGCTAATTTAATAACAAAGAACTTGAAAAAAGATTACTCCAGCCAAAATTATGTTGGTGTTCTTTCTGTGATGTATTACTTGGTAAAGCAGATGAAGTGYTTTAATCGTACTGTAGGAGTTTTTACTGACATGGTAAACATACCTCAGGATACTTTTATTGCATTTGTATAAAAGCCAAGCTGCAACAGACGTAATAAAGATACAGTATGTTTGATGTCATAACTGCTATTTTGGTAACTTTGTACRTTTTGCTTTGGTCATTTTATCGTCTGGAACTGAACAAATATTTTATTTTTCCTGCTTCTTTCCTGCTCTTGCATTTTCTTTCTTCCCCTCACAGAAAGCATACCTCAGGCTTTCAGCATACCCCTCTCCCAGGTCATTGCTAACGACAGAACGCACAGACAGCGTCAAGATGGTTATCGGCTGGACCCTCCGCCGCGGGAAGAGCACAAAGACTCATCTGACCTCGTCTCGTCTATTTTACAAGTCTGTCAATATGTGTTTGTTACTTCTGATTTGGCTTTATTTTAGTTGTTTGAGAGTTTGTGATTAAGTCTTGAACCATGTGCCCTGCAGTTTGCCACCAAGCGGACATCGAACAAGGAGTTATCCAGCAGCAACTCATCACTGAGTTCCACATCAGAGACGGCCAACGAATCATCACCCAACACGCCTGAATCTGCACCGCGAGCCCGCAGGAGGGTGAGAAAAAGCTTTGAAAAAGGCCTATTACTATCCACCCAAGAATCACTCAGTATTAAAATTTCTTTCTTTCTTTTTTTTTTTTCTTTGCATGATTTCCCACCAGGGCGGCATGTCTGTTGACTCCATCACAGACCTGGACGACAACCAGTCGCGTCTCCTCGAGGCGCTGCAGCTCTCCCTGCCGGCTGAAACGCCGAGCAAAAAGGAAAAGCACAGAGACAAAAGGCTGAGCCTCAATCCCATCTACCGTCAGGTGCCCCGGGTAGTCGACAGCTGCTGTCAGCACATTGAGAAAAACGGTGAGCTGTTTCTTTTTTTAAATTTTCACATACTCCCAGTATTAATTTTTAGCCCTAGTCTTTGCACTAAATAAACAGCCTGCGTTTCTTTTTCACTCAGGTTTGCAGACTGTGGGAATCTTTAGAGTGGGAAGCTCCAAAAAAAGAGTCCGACAAGTGGGTTTTCATGTTTTTCATTATTTTAAATCATTTTTTTTGAACTGGGCAAATATCTWGATTATCTTTATATAATTAAAGTAGTTTTTCAATCCCCACATAATAACCATAATCATCAAGTTTCGATCAACTTATTCAAGACCATGTATGCAAAAAACAAAGTTGTGAGAGAGATAAGGTGTCACTCTTTTCTTTGCACTCAGGAAATTCAACACTAACAACCTACCCCCCTTCTCTAAGAATAGTAAAACCAATGTTTTGTTAATGCTATAAAAGCATCAGCTGCTTCTTTGTTCAACGTTTGTTTAAAAGAAGCCTGAGAAATATTTCATTGTGACACAAAAGAGTAGTTTCTTTTATATTTTAGTAAAAGTTGTTTTTCTCTTTTTCTAGCTCTAACAACTCAGTTTCAGTTTCTTCAGCAAATGTCAGCAAAGTCATTCAGGACTTGGCCTTCACACTGCATTTTCACAGAAAACGTTAATTCTCTACTTACTTACTGTGAAGTGGTTGAATGAGTAAAATTCACAAGTATGGCTTAAACCAGGGATGGGCAACTTAAATGGTGGAAGGTGTCACATTTTTTCAGTAACACTACCAAAGGGCCATATGGCTCTGCACACTT